CCGCTGTGGATCCCCTGCAGGTGCATGCAGTGGCAGGAGCTGCCCCCTCCCCACTCTGTGGATGAGCTGAGGCTCTGTCCTGTGTCCCGCCCTGGCTGGACAGCACCTGCCTCTGCCCCAGACCCCTCCTCCCCCCTGGGGTCTTGACCTGCCCCACCACAGCTCTCTCCACCCCCAACAGAATTACCAGCCAGATGCTGCTCTCCAAGCTGCCAGGCTGCATATCAGTAATCGAACCAGTATCGGCCAATATGGCTCATTAATAATCAGCCATCCATTTCGGCCCAAAAAATCTTTATTGGTGCATCACTACACTTCTCCAAGTCTTCTTCTGGGAGCTGCTTATGAATGAGACTGTGGGCACATGTATACGAGATGTTTACTGAAGAGCTGCCAAATTAGCTTTGCAGTAAAGTCTCTGTGTCTACATGTATGGCCCTATTAGGTCACAGTAAATTAATAAATGCTGCTGTAGGTTAGTACTTCTAAATCCAAGTACTATCCTGTGGCAGTGTTTGTCAGTGCACAGCAATGCATGTGTAGACGCTGACCCAAGTGGCTAGGGCACAAGGGTGCTTCAGTGTGCGGGCTGCCTGCCAGCTAGCCGTGCATTAGAACACCTTCATGCACCAGCCAGCCCCCTCTATAGCACATTGAGCTGGGTCGGAGCAGCCCCAGGTTGGCAGGCTGACCCCCCAGGTCCCTTCCTAGCCAGGACTGCTGTAACTGAGCTCAATGTACTGTGGTCCCAGGTGCATGTGTAAATACAGCACCCACGAGCAATACACTGAAGCACGATATGAGTTGGAGTTTATTGTTCCATGCTAATAGCACATGTGGATGGACACAGAATGTAGAGCTTCCCCTTCACTCCATTACTCCCAGTCCTACTGTGTAGGCCCACACAGTCTGCAGCTTAAAACAACTCACAGTAGGGAACTGAAAATGCTAAGGCTCATTAAAGGGGAAAAAGAAATGCCACACGGAAGCAGATAAACAGGTTTGCCTAAGCTCTCAAGCATTTTATCTAGCTTTCTTCACTAGGGCCAGTGGTCAAACTTAACACCTGGAAACCAACAAAGACATGAAAATGGTTAATGCATCTCTAATCAGTCTCACTGCTCAAAATGCAGACCATGATACCCATATCCCCTCTATGGATGCATCCACACATGCAAGCATGTGTGCTTGCAGCAGCTCAAATAGAAGCAGCACAAATTTGAGCTGGGGCTTTCTGCATCAGTGCATGTGCCCAGACATGCATTCTGCTGTGGGGAAGATTGTGCCACTTGGGGCAAAATAACCCCGGCTCCCCCTGGATCTGCAGCCAGGGGGAGCTAGAGGCTGGGGCCAGCACCTGTGCTGCCCCCAGCAGTATAAAATCCTGCCCTGTTTTGACCCCAGCAGTACAAATAGCTGCTCTGGCAAGTAGCTCAGATCTACTTGCTCTCAGGAACTTCTGGGGCCCAGCCATTTGGTGCCTGGGGACACTAGCCCTTGTGCCAGCTGGACTACTGAAGCAGCCCTGAGAGTTCCCTGCACCCTCTACCCACTGAAGCAGTCTGGCAGTAGGGGCTGCTGCCTGGCTGTGACCTGCTGCCACCTGCAACAGCATGTGGGCCAAGGCTGCACGCCTGCCAGATGCAGATGGGGACGGCATGGCCATTAGAGGCATCTGCACCTCTGGGCCAGCTGCCAGTGGGCTATGGCTGCACAGTTGGCCTTTGTGCAGCTCTACTGCCATGTGTGCCACCACCTGGCCATCTGGGTAGCTATCACCCAGATGTTCTCAC